AGACACCGGTCTAACTGTGGATCAGTTGGTTGGAGGCGCACCAATCCCGAAGGCAGAAGTGGCATACAAGTTTGAACTCGGTAAACCGCTTGTCAAACCTGAACAGCTGCAGTCCCTACCGACACAGATGTACAAATTCCATGAACGGTACATGGAAATGAGCGCCAAGGGTAGAGAGATGTTCGGAGCGAGGATCAGAAACCCCGACTTCTTGCAAGGAGAATATGTTCTCTGGATCCATTTCAAGGATCTCTTCGATCCATACCAGTTGGACGCCCTCGACGTCTCTCTTCTGAGCGCATGGATTTTGTGAGTATCTTTGAGTTCGATTTGTTTCGTTCAATAATTAGCTCCTGGCATATATGTAAGCAATAATACTTTCCTTTCATCATTGTAGAATGGAGATTCAAAGGGCCCGATGGTGGAGGGTCTACGATATTGGGTTCATCGACCCTCGGAAAATCAACACCGAAATGATCGACAAGTACGAGAAAGACACAGACGATAATCTCGTCCATCTCCTAATGCAGCAGCATTTCAAGACGTACATACTACTGCCGTACAACACAGAGTGAGTTTTTATTGTCGTTCGAACAAATTTCGTTCCCATACATATAGCATGTACATTTTCGATCATATATATCTCATCTCACGCATATTCCAGATTCCACTGGGTCCTGTTATTCTTCGACTTGGACGTATGCAGAGTCACTGTGTACGACTCAATGAATAAAGAGGAGAAGATTTTTGACAAGGTCTTCAAACTGATAGTCAGGTAATATAATGCCATCTATTCCAAAGTCGCGGGGAATCTATTGCTATTATGTTGATCTCAGGTAATAATTAATTAATCATAGATTGCAACTGCATATGTAGGGCTTGGGATCGGTTCCGTCAATTGGTCCGCGGGACTTGGAAAGAAAAACTTGGACGGAGGTTTCATTTTCCAGTGAGTACATGCATGATCCAAAATTATATTGAATTGAATCTATAATTACAATTAATATAAAGAGTATATTAAATCTCTCATCGTTTCTCATGTAGTGTGCAAATCAGGACCAGGGAACTAACTTATGCGGCTACTACGTATGCGAGTATGCCCACTGCCTATCAAACCAAATATGCACAACACGAGAGCTCGATGTACGTATACATAAACCATTCAAAATTTCATTGTGTATCGATTTGTTAAGTTGTTTATTAATTTCATATATTGATACGTCATTATTTTTCGAACGATAGCATATTCACATGAGGGATAATCTCCCACACAAAGATTTTATCAAGGCTGTTCAAGAACAACTGATGGGATTCATCAACGAAGAAGTCCTTAATCCCGACGGTGAATTCTACTACGACGGATCGACAATTCATAACGTCGGTCCTTCCTCTCTTGACATAACGCCGGCGTCGAAGTCGTAGCTATAGTTACCGAGCAAATGAATTGTACTATATATGCATGTAATATATATATATATATACATATATATATATATATACATATATATATATATACATATATATATATATACATATATACATATATATATATATACATATATATATATACATATATATATATATAATCAACCATGCAGCAAACAGGGCCATGCAAATAAAAAAAATGGTGCACCGATTTTTAGTCCCGGTTGGTAACACAAACCGGGACTAACGATGGTTTGGCTGGCCACGTGGCTGATCGATCTTTAGTCCCGGTTGGTAACACGAACCGGGACTAAAGATCGATCTTTAGTCCCGGTTATTTCATCCGGGACTAAAGATAGCTATCTTTAATCCCGGATTCGTAGTCCTGGTTAGACAACCGGGACTAAAGGGGGTTACCAACCGGGACTACAAACGGTTTCTCCACCAGTGTACCAAGCATATGCAGGTCTACATTTGTTATTCCATCCGTCCTAAAATATAAGGAGCACACATCTCACCAAAATCACTCATATTTTAAGACGGAGGGAGTATTAATCCATTATTGCATGTACCACTCCAGCCGATCCTATCCGTTAGTTAAGGCGGTATATACGTCTCCGCTAGCTAGCTAGCTAGCTAGTCCCGGTAGGATGGGAACACAGAGTGTGATTCATGTCATCTTCTGTGGTGTTTGATTCTAGGAAACAAATGTTAATTAATTACTGATTTTAATTTTATGTTTTGTGATTAATGATAATGGGGTGGTATTAAATTAGGTGTAGTTATAAGTTCATTCAAAGTATGGTACCTCTCTTAGTTATTAATTATCACACTACGAGGTACTCCCTCCGAAAAAAAATACTTGTTGTTTCAGACCGTGCAAATGATTTGTACCTAGTTTTTTCTTTCTGTTGAAAATGACAGATAAATTCAACCGGAGGGAGTAACTAAGGTAGAGAGAAGTAATATATTACGAGGTATATATATATATACCTCTTAATTAATATTACCTCGGTTAAAAAACTTTATTTTTAATTACCTATCTTACACACACCAATACAAAGCCAAAAGACTAGAATGCTTTCTACTTTTTGAAACTAATTAATACTACCTCTGTTCCAAAAAAACTTTATTTTTAATTACCTATCTCACACACACCAATACAAAGACAAAAGACTAGAATGCTTTCCACTCTTTTAAACTCCAATGCATTTATCTCCTACCTTTTGAAACTTTACTGTATATATATTTGTCTTCCACTTTCTCAAACTCTAATATAATTATTATTCTAAAGTTAAAATCTTTGTGGGACAAATGAATGGGTAAAAGATGAAGTGTTGTTGGGACAGTAGCTATTTATCAAGTAGACATTGTACACAATCCCAAATCACTAGTAATTATGTCTCGGTGTCTATCAGATATCACATTGAATGCTCCCATGCATACACAGTTGTGGTATAATTTGGGTCGAACTGAACTATGTGCCAACTATTTTGCTGTGATTTACTTTCTACTTACTTCATCCATAAATATAAGGATTATGACTTCCTTTATTATAAATATAAATATAAGCATTCTGAAGCATATCTACTTGTTGCCAGGATCAATTACTTATATTTATGGACGGAGCTAGTATCTTTTAATTAGCGGAGATTTTTCCGCATAACCTTTTGCATAATTTTGCACAAGCTGTATTTTCAAATAGAGTAAATTAGGAAAATTACAATCTTAGTATGTGTTTGGTTTGGGGATGGGATGGGATGGGTTGGTTCCATCCCTGTTTTTTGGAATGGGATGGTTCTGTTTTTTTGTTTGGTTGAAGGGATAGAACGAACCCTGTTTTTAGTTTGGTTTGAGGGATATGATGGGTTGGAATGATCCTATCTTTTGTTTGGATGGAGGGATGAACATGGGATGCTTGGATACAATTACCTCCACACATTAGTTGGTGAGGTTACCTCTCATAGTCTACAAACTACAAAATAATATTTCTACATGATGACCACACTATATAAAAAATTAAAATACCCTCCATATCACTATTTTTGAAAATAAGCTCCAGCAACTTCATTTCAGCATATTGGACAAGCTACAGAATAATGACAAGCTACCCAATAATGAACAATACTAGCAGTTCCATAATCAACCCCTCAAAAAACAATCACACATAATTAGCTCACATCTGATCCCATTTCAACCCATACATAGAGTCCAAGCCAAACATAATAAGAAGTTTCAAGTCGTGCACATAATAGCAAATTAAGGTCTTACACATAATAGCAAATTTAAGTCTTGCACCTAAGAATTCTCGGCCTTAAACATATTGGCAGTACAAAGTCATACATGATCATGGGCCCACCGGCAACACATAATACCAAAAGAACTACCCAACTCATCTAACAACGCTACATTGATCCAGGAAACTTCTCATTAATGAACAAGTGGACCCAATGTATCTTGTTTTCGAAAGGAAGTCCATCAAAAGCTCTAGCAATATGAGGGTTGGCAACCAAATGAGCATAGTAAACAGATACATGGATCTCCTCAAACCCAGGAAGGCTTTTCAAGGTTTGAAATAAACCATCTGGCAGTTTATTGTCTGGCTCAGCGACCTTTAGTATAGCAGAAGCTAACTTGTCACCAACACTGGTGAATGCACCAATCAGCCCATCATCTTCAATTTCTTGTGTTCTGGCTTTCTTTGGCTTGCTTGCAGATGATGCCTCCGCACGATCATCAGTAGTGGCAGGGCCATCATTTTCCTCTTCATCATTTTCAGTTTGGACATCCTCTGTTCCTAGGACTGAACTTGAGTCCTTTGCATACTTTCCCGTAGCCATGGTGCTACCAAATATTGTAAGCATCTCACCATAGTGTGCAAGAGGTTTGTTAAAATAATCAGCATCAGCCTTGTGATCCTTCGGTGAAACAAAATTTTTTTTAAGTAAATGCAATAAAACAAATGAATGGAATAAAGCACTAGGTCAAGACATTTACCTCAATATAGCCATTGTAGTGCTCATCATCAAGAGTAATGATGAAATTTTTCTCATCCCAACCAGCGGCACTCACTTTCCTAAGCCTATTTATCTTTGTAAACTTTCTTTGCCATGTCTTCAAATGATTCTTAATTTGCTCACCCGTGAGAGTGCTGTTAAACCTTTCATTCACAGCCCTAGCACATGCATATAGATGCACTGCCTTGAAGCCAGATGAGGTCCTTGTGCCTCCGGCCACAAGATTGGCAAGGTGTTTGAGCATGAAAGATGACATAGCTGAGGTCCATGAAGCATGGGTGCTTCCTCCCTTGCCACTATTGTTGTCCATTTTCTACCTGCTGTCAAATGAACCAGAAAATATCCATTTAGCAATATGTAAACCTAGAAAGTGTCCATTCAGCAATATAGTAAACAGAAATTGACCATTCACCAATATAGTAAACAGAAATTGTCCATTCAGCAATATAGTAAACAGAAATTGTCCATTCAGCAATATGTTAACCCAGAAATTCACCATTCAGCAATAAATCAACCCAAAAAAATTCAGCATTCAACTATCAACCAATGAAATGACCATTCAACAATATGTCAACCAACTCAGCATTCATCAAACCATAATTCAGCATACAACAATAGATTTATCCATACAAATGCAATTTAGCAAATGGACTACAACAAGCTGTCCATACAAATGAAATACATAAAAATGTTCATTGACTAATGAAATATTGTAAATAAGGTAGAAATACAAGTAGCCCAGCTACATATTACATTCCATGATGGCTATTACGGTCAGCCCACATCTGATCAGCTAAGCCCTGCCTGAACTGAACCATCAATGCATGGTCATTTGCTTGGCCGGTTAACGATTCATCAATGTCCTCACTTGACCAATCAGGCGGAGCTATAAGCTCATCAATTCCGTCATTTACGACCCAATTATGAATAATACAACAAGCTACAACAATATCTACTTGAGTTCGAAATGGGAAGAATGGAGTGGCATCATCAAGCACTTTGAACCTCCTCTTTAGTGACCCAAATGCACGTTCAACCGTCACACGGAGGGATGAGTGTCTAAGGTTGAACAACTCCTTCTCATTTTGTACCGGATTATTCCCCCATTCATTTAGATGGTACCGAACAGCACGAAAAGGAGGCAAGAATCCTTGTTTGGCTCCATATCCAGCATCAACTAGATAGTATTTGCTTATTATATGATCGACAAGTTGGTCACATTCCTAAATATCAACATTTGTCATGGATAATTTGATAAACTATTACCTTGTAATCTATTACCTTGTGGGACACGGAGGCCATTTTCACGTTCCAAAGCATCTCTTAAAACTACAGCATCATGTGCTGTCCCCTCCCAACCAGCCAAGACATAAGTAAACCGAAGATCAAAATCTACGGCTGCCATTACATTTTGAGTGGCATGGGACTTCCTACCACGAAAAGAAGACTCCACATTCTTACGAACCGAGGCTCTAATATGTGTGCCATCAATAGCTCCAATACAATCCTATTTTGTGTTCAACAACATTAAAAATTAGGGACCATATATCAATGTTCACATAAAGATAAATTTAGATAGGGATGAATCTCAGACCTTAAAGTAAGGATCCCATCTAGGGTTTCCTGCTATTTTAGTTGGAGTGTCCAATGAGGGGGGCCTGATTAGTTCATCTCGTAGCTCACCGATTGCATGAAGGACTTTGTTGAAATAACGGCTAACTGTTTCTCCAGACCTATCAAAATTAGTACGAACTAATCTATTTCTAAGGTTATGCCCCACTGTATGCAAAAACATAGCCACTTGTTCCTCAATACACATGTGAATGGTATCTTCAAGTAAACCACGATCCCTAAAAAGCTTACAAAAACGAAAGAAACTTGCCCTTCTAAGTCTAAGCATGTTGATACAAGTTGTATCGTTCCACCAAATTTTCGTTTCTAGGTACTCAATTCTTTTTCTATCCCTTTCAACCATTGGGCCATATCTAATACCTTCTCTCCTTGAACACCTCTTTCTTTTTCTAGACCTAATAATCATGGCCATCATCGACAACAATAAATTTGTAGCTGCAATACAAACTAAAAGCTTGGTCCTCTTGTCCATCTACAATACAACAAAAAAAAACACATGGACAACATCTACTGTCAAGCAATTGATAAAGGGATTTCACACATTCTTCAACAAAAACAGATATGCACAGATCTGAAAATGAAATCCTCATCCAAGGTTTAGGGTCTTTTTACCGTGGAGATTGGGAACCCCGATCTGCAGTTGGTGGCTACGAACACTTCGAATCGAAGGTGATGAGGTCCAGCGCCGCCGTGTCCTGCTCGCGCGCCGGCTTGAGCTCCTGAGAGCGTCGCCGTGCCCCTGCTCGCGCGAGCGCCGCTGCAGCCGCGCGCGCCTCCGCAGCCCACGCCCGCGGCGCTGCTGCAGCCGCGCACCGCGCCGCCTCACCGCAGTCCGACCCGCGCCGCCTAACCGCAGCCCCTGCTCGCGCGCCGGCTCGAGCTCCCGCTAGCGCCGCTGCAGCCGCGCGCGCCTCCGCAGCCCACGCCCGCGCCGCCACAGCCGCGACCCGCCGCCGCCTTGCCCCTGTGCGCCGGCTCACCCAGGCCAAGCACGCGCCGCCGCCACCCTTGCAAACCCTAGGAAGGAATAGACAGAGAAGAGATAAGAAGAAGGGGAAAAAAAGAGAGGTGAAGCGCTTCTGCTCTTACCGCGCGCGTGTCGCGAGTCACGGGTGCGAGGTGGGATCGTTTCGTCTACCACTTTTTTCCGGATGGGGTTGTCCCGAATATTGAAGGAATATTCTCTTTTGGAACCATCCTATCCCTCCTAGTCCCTCAACCAAACAGCCATAAAAATGGGATGATCCCATCCCATCCCGGGATATCCTCCCAACCAAACACATGCTTAGAGACAAGTAAGAACTGTGGGATATGGACCCACATGTCAAGTGCACGTGAGATGGTATTTGTCAACTCCATATTTTTTGCGCTTGAACCAAGCAAATTAGCCCCTTTTTTAAAAAAATGGAATTGGATTTGGTATATAATTCTTAACTTTCCAGCAATTTTCATATATAGATTCAATTGTTGTATCAATATGCAACGTTATAATCCACTACCTACATCCCAAAAGAAGTTCATTTTTGGGTTTCTATGCCCAACATTTGATCATCCTTCTTATTTCAAAAAATTATTAAAAAAATAAAAAAATAAATCACACATAGAGTACTATCCATACTTTATAATCTAATAACAATAAAAATATTAATCATAATTTTTTTAAAATAAGACGAAGAGTCAAACATTGTTTCTAGAAACCGAACACAAACTTTTTATTGGACGGAGGCAGTAGAGTTTCTGTAATAATATAGAGATTTGAACCTATCATAATTTAATGGTGTAAATCTTTCACTCTTTCTTCAACTCATTGCCTTGGTAATTATTTCTGGACCACCAAATTAAAATGAACATGAGCTCTCTCGACCACTTCAAGCTTGGTAGAAGATATTTAACAATTTATATACTAGTAGCTAGAATATGGCTGTTACTTACTCGACCCAACTCATTGATGACCAATCTGAACTCTCTTCGCTTTACTTTCTTGCATGATTTGCCTGTAATTAATCTTCCTTTAATGATGTTATATATACAATTCCCTTACCTAAAGATCGATATCTGTTAACTACAACATTTCGTTGGCTAAGCTTAGCTTATCCATGCATGGGGAACGTTTGCATCCCATCACATGATCGCATGTGCGTCGACGGCCTATTGTATATCGATACACCCGTCTATATCCATTGAACTGGTCCGATCGATATACTGTAATTCACTACTCATCAGCATCTTATATGTGGTTTGTTCCAGATAGTTTCCAATACATAAATTTGCGTGCAGCAGCAGCAGCTGCCGTGCAGTACAATATATTATTCGGTTTTGTTTTCTAGTATATAGACAGTGTTTAGTTCCCTTCAAATTTCTAAAAATTCTGTCACATTAAATGTTTAGATATATACAAGGAGCATTAAATGTGGACGGAAAAAACCAATTGCACAGTTTGCATGTAAATTGCGAGACGAATTTTTTGATCCTAATTACGCCATGATTTGACAATGTGATGCTACAGTAAATATTTGCTAATGACAGATTAATTAGGCTTAATAAATTTGTCTCGTGGTTTACAGGTGGAATCTGTAATTTGTTTTGTTATTAGTCTACGTTTAATACTTTAAATGTGTGTTCGTATACTTAAAAATATTTATATAAGACATAAAACTCATAATTACGCTTAAAACGAAATGGAGGGAGTACCCAGATAGGCGGCTTAACTGACCATTTGGACTACAACATGTGTATGCATATCTAACATTACTTATGTAGCTATGTCTACCTACAACGTATCATTGCCTACGTCCATATATGCATCGCTTGGTGATGGTTATTTTTGGTATGTAGCTGAGGAGCACCTGATGGTGACAAGGAGATGTGTGTAAACTGTAAAAAGAAGAAGAATCTGGAGATCCATCGAGTTCTGGAATCTGGCAAGCTTTGCTAATAACTTGCGCTGCCGACAAGGATTTGTACATATGCACGATCCAATCCCAACTAAACAGATACGGCCGGCCTGCGCCGTACAAGATCGACATCATCCTTCCTTCACCGGTTTCCACCCGACATCTATACATCCAAAGTGCGCAGCAGTGGTGCCAGCAACGTCATCAAGTTCGGACGACTAATTAATAGTCACTAGAACAGGATCGGTTATCTCTAATGGGCTTAAAGCATCATCTCCTTCGGGCTGGGCCCCCGTCACTAAGCAAAGATCAGTGATGTGAGAAAATATCTCAATCGGGCATCCGGCCGTCACGGATGACACATCTCAATCGGGCCAACACAAAAGCCCGTTACGGATGACTCTCATCTCTAACGGGCCTAGATTATAGCCCGTCACGGATGAATATAATTCAAAAAAAAGTTTTTTTTTAGCCTCAGGACTTCGCCCTCACTCGTGTGCCTTCCCGGTCGGTCACCCATCCGGACTCATGTGCGCTCGGGAAGAATTTCACGATTGGTCACCCATCCCGAAATTGCTCTAGGCCAAGCACGCTTAATCTCATAGATATTTGGAGATTGGCTTCCGAGAAAGAAATTGCAATTTGTTGGTATGACTATTCTATTAATCCTATTAAACCCTAGGCCAGAATGTCATACCCTAGCATCCCCTATTCATATACATTCATTCACATAGACAACTATCAATATATTTAACACAACCACGTTCACATAACATCTATTTTGTTCACATATTTAACCAGCAAAACCGAGTTAATTGGATCAAATATGTATTTAGCAAGTATTATCATAAGGAGGAGGCAAATCAGACTTTTAGGAAAAAATGAATTTCGAATTGAATTTTATGATACTAAATGAACTCATATGAAAAATCTGTCAAAAACAAAGTTGTAGGACTTATTGAGATCTACTAATTTTATTTTGATCATTTCTCTATCCGGGTTTTATTGAACTATATAAAATTTGAATTTTAAAATATAAATTCAAATATTTTTTTCAGGTAGTAAATGATTTCAAATGGAAAAATTGTCAACAAAAAAGTTGTATAACTCATCAAGTTCTATAACTTTTACTTTGGTCTTTTTTCTATATAACATTTTTTGAACAATTTGAATTTGAATTTAAAAATATAACAATTTCAAACAATATTTTCAAATACTAAATGATTTCAACTGAAAAAGTCAACAATAACAAAGTTGTATAACTCAACAATATCTATAACTTTTATTTTGTTCATTTTTCTATACAACATTTTTTGAACAGTTTGAATTTGAATTTAAAAACATCACAACTTCAAACAACATTTTCAAATACTAAATGATTTCAACTAAAAAGTCATCAACAACAAAGTTGTATAACTCATCAAAATCTATAACTTTTATTTTGGTCATTTCTTCATCCGATAAAGTGATAGTAACATTGTTCACAAAATTCATATATCTCTCATCTGGTTTATAAATCATAACACAGATATGTAAAATTTGTGAATAATATTACTAACACTTTATCGGATGAATAAATGACAAGCATAAAAGTTATAGATCTTGGTGAGTTATATAACTTTGTTGTTGATGACTTTTTTTAGTTGAAATCATTTAGTATTTGAAAATGTTGTTTGAAGTTGACATATTTTCAAATTCAAATTCAAGCTGTTCAAAAAAAGTTATATAGAAAAATGATTAAAATAAAAGTTATAGATTTTGATGAGTTATACAACTTTCTTGTTGATGACTTTTTTTAGTTTGAATCATTTAGTATTTGAAAATGTTGTTTTGAAGTTGTCATATTTTCAAATTCAAATTCAAACTGTTCAAAAAAGTTATATAGAAAAATGACCAAAATAAAAGTTGTAAATCTTGGTAAATTATACAACTTTATTGTTGATAATTTTTCCATTTGAAATCATTTAGTATTTAAAAATATTGTTTGAAGTTGTCATATTTTCAAATTTAAATTCAAACAGTTTACAAAAAGTTATATTGAAAAATGACCAAAATAAAAGTTGTAAATATTTATGAGTTATACAACTTTGTTGTTGACAATTTTTCCATTTGAAATCATTTACTATCTGAAAAAATATTTTGAATAATAAAATGAATTATTATACTGCAGTTAATTATTTTGCTACAGGTCAACTCACAAATATAAACATTTTTCATATGACAAATGGAAAGAAAATACTAAGTCATCTCAATCGGGCATTAGTATAGAGCCCATCATGGATGAGTCATCTGTGACGGGTCTAGTTGTTACCGATTGAGATATGGTCGCACAGACATGTTAGATGGGCATAAAACTCAGGCCCACCACGGATGACACCTATCAGTGACGGACCATAGTTTAAAGCCCGATTGAGATGTTATCTCAATCGGGCCCTGTCACACCCCAATCTGGCACCGCCGTACAACGTCACCTGATAGGAACGTGTCGTAGGAAAAACGGCGCGAACCGCTTCCTACGAAACCGCGATCACAGTACCAGTCTCAGGACATAGCGCTGGTATCCATGGTGACAAATATGAATCATAGCAATCCTTAAAATAAATAGAGGACTTATTTACCTTAACTTAGGTTGCAGCTCAGAACAGCCTGAGAATACAACCGACGACGCGGACGAGGAAACACCAATAGCAGCAACAGCAGCGGAACCAACGATCTAACACCCAACACCACAGGCGACGGCTGGGAACCAGGACGAAACCTTATTCTTCTCTTCAAGACGGAGGAACTATATATATATTTATTTATATAGAGCAAGGGTGAGTACTTTCGTACTCAACAAGTCATGGGAATTATGTGTTTAATGCAGGCTTCAAAGGAAAGGCTGCTTGTTTTCACAATTGATTTTAGTTAAACTCTTTTTT